TCTGAATATGCCCAATCTTACCACATGAAAAACATTTTGATTGGCGATGTATGCAAGTATATCTGGAGTGGTCCTGTCCACACGAAGCACATTTGCCAAGAACTATTTTGGTCGGCGTATTTGACGATTTTGAATGTTCGAATGCAGTTGGTTGTTTTTGCTATTATAACACATATTGGTTTCAAATTTACCGTGTGGGCGACCTTCTAGCCCTTTCGACTTTAGTGCATTAAATAAAACGGTCTCGTTGCATTTAGTTACTTGTTTAACATCCTGGTATTACCCGCAAATTTTTCTGATCGATATGAAGCGTTGATCAGTCTGTACTAGGAGCTTTTCCTGTAGATCTGGAAGATTAATTCCAGCAATGAGGCGATCACTCAGTTGGCCTTCAAGTTGTTGGTCGTAGTCACATTTTGCAGCCTGTGTTTGCAGCTGGAGGACAAAATCACGAATACTCTGAGATTCGGATCGAATAAGCGAATTGAATTTTGCTCGTTCTGCGGCCACAAAATTGATAGGCTTAAAATGACTGAGAATTAACTTCTTTAGAATATCGAATGTGCAAACGATCGGCGCCATAGGGAATAATGAATTCTTCACAAGAGCATAAGCATCCTTTCCAATGTAGTGCAGGAAATAAGCTGTCTTCTTTTCGTCATTCAGATCCGATTTGGTAAGACACCAAATGTTAAAGCGTTCCAAATACTCCTCCACCTCCCGTGCAGTCGAATTTACACTGAGCGATTCCAATTCAGATACCATTGTGATGAAGAGAAGAAAATTCCGGATCGCGACGCCAAATGTGATAATTAGAATGGTGGTAGGTATCTTAACTACCGAATGTACGCGTAGTATAGAAGTCCGAATATGGAAGAATGAATATCGTACATTCTCGAATATCGCGGGCGTACAATCGATTGCATCGTAAAACAAAGGCATATAAAAATACACTAGACAGAATGGATAGAATAGAGTCAATGTTCACCACAGCTGCTCAGTGAAGCTGTCGTTGCTCACGATACACCACAAAGCGAACCTGGCTCACCTTGGTCCACAATTTCATGTTGACTTTAAAGATGGAAACTGCATCGCTCATAATGGACTTCTAAATAAACCAAACTCATGTGAACACTGACGTCTTCTTGGAAATGTCAACAGTGTAACTGGAACGAGCTGAAAAATTCAATTTATATCACCCTTTGATGACAGCTAATGTTCTGGCAGCAAGGTTTGCAGCTTTTTCGGTGCATTGCAATCACTGTGACATTGATGTCCTTAGATGAGTGAGGAAGAATTGTTAGTCTACCGGATATCGCTTGGAAGTTCGTGGGGTTGGAAGCAGACTCACTCCATTACTTACTCTACAAAGCGTGCATTTTTGTGGCACCACTGCCTTGGACTGTGCTCCCACGACCTAATTATCACGCAGTGGTTCATTTTGTTTTGTATTTTATCGCTGATTTCTGATAAACGTTACGCCTCCAAAAAGGTACTTGCTTAAATGCATAAAGCTCGTATGCCTATAACCTCGTTCGTGCAACCATAAAGCCCACATATTGACCACTGTTATTTTCTTTGTTAGAAAGCCTGAAACCGCACACACCTACAACTTTAACAGCGTCGAACATATGGAATATTAGTATTGTTCGATGAAATAGAATATTTCCTTTGGCGGCTTCACACCACGATGAGGCTGGAATCAAAACGGATTTTCAACAATTCCACAATGAAAATGGAGCTAAAAGTTAAAGGGGTTATCCATTAGCCAAGTTGAGCGTTGGTACCCACTCTCTCAATACAGGGGTGTATTCACAATCAGTGCGTTTGCTGTGGGTAGTCCGGCCGCTATCGATTAACCTTCATGATAAGGTTAAAATGATGTATTGATGTGCCAGCCATTGTGACACGTAGAATCGTGGTGGCTCGCGAACCCGACTACTACATCATGGCTGCAGTGGAAGTCGGATAGGTATCATAAACCGGGGCCAGAAAGCATCCTATTGCATGCTTCGGATGAAGTTCTAACTGGTGCAACAAAGCGTTGGACCCAATATTACACAGTAAACGCACGGCTTCTGAAAAGCCCTGAAACCTAAGCTATGATGTGCAAGGTTTTCCGGGACCCTGTTTGCGTTCCGGTTCAGGTCAGAATTGTATGAGACCCATCTGCGGGCCGTCTGTGCTTTTTAAAGGGTCCGGGCTAGAAGACAATGATATTACGCCATAGACATATCCCCCCTGGGAACAAACCCGCAGATCCTTATCGTACAGCGAGCAAACTTCATACTCATACAATCGATGTGGTTAACAAAGTGAACCTTTGGGCACCAGCGATCAGAGGAGAGATCGGTAGTTTACGAAGCCTACAGAAGCTCAGCTGTATCTCCGAAGACCTCCACCTGAGATGAGAGCCAATATTCTTGATCACCATCAGCGGGTGTCCGTTATGGATGTCAAGCGTAAAGGCAGTAGGGTTTCCCCTAACACAATCAGCCGCACGATGACGCTCTTGGAGTTCAAGAAGCTTCAACGATTTTGCTACCCAGTTATTTTGTTTCCATGGGCCATCGGAAGACATTCACGGTGGCGTAGAAAAGAGCGGAAGGTGAGATCCTTGCTTCGATGAGTTAGGCTCTGACAACTACCGTTGGTGGATCAAGGCGCGACAGAAAAATCATTTGTGAGTGAGGTTTTCAACGGTCTGAAACGGAATGGCCACCAAGTATCTGAAACGAGTGAATATAATGAAGCCATATCGCTAGGTAAGAAAGTGCATGCATCTACCAACACAGACATCAGCCGTTTGGAAGCGCTTGCGAGCTTTACACCGGAATCAACAAAATTTTATCTCATTTGATTAGTTCCGTTAAGATTAGATTGGATTTTCAACGGTGATGACCATGGTCCTTGAAATGGGTAAAGTTCTATACATAGTCGCTTGGCGGACCACTTTCGGACTATTGCTGTTACATTCAGGACTTCATTTCGGCTACAATCGCACGACGAACCCTGAAAACATCACCCACACTCCAGTGAGTCTATTCGTGCGTTGCCAATGCAACCGCAACTAAATAATGCCTTATTCCGACCACATTGTCTGTGCGTAAACACGGAGTTTTTAGTAAATTGTTCTTCCGATTCTTGGATCAGACACATCGAATAAGGTAAGCTTTTGAGAAGAACGTCTCAATCTTGATACTATGGAACGTTAACCAGGATATTAATTCCTTAACGTGTCCTTGCGTGCAATCGAGATCCCAGTTTTCTTCGCGATATCATAAATAGAAAGATCATGGGATATGCTGAAATTTCATATGCTTCACATCGTGCGAACTGTTTGCATTGCCGTGTAGTTGTAGATAAAGTTCAACTTCTTGAGGGCGAGACCCGTATCTGAGTAGAGAATTTCCAAGGAATTCCGGGGATCTCTGGGGCATGTTTGTTGCAAGTAACGTATGGTAAATGAAATAACTGCGCACTCCTGTGGTTTTGCAAATTTAAAACTCGTTAGCGTTGAGATGCCTGATGCTAGATGATGGAAATAAGCCACCTTGTGTGTTTTAAGGTACAAGAAGTTTTCCTTCTTATTCTGACAATTCGATACGAAATCGGTTTTAATATAGGCATACAGGTGATTCCGAGTGAGAATAGGCTTGGCCTAGTCTTCTCCAGCACCGGCCTTCATTGGAGTTCCTCAATCTCCGTCCTACGACCACTGCTGTTTTTGATCTACGTCAACGACCTTGCAGATGTTCTTGCAAGTTCATGTCTACTTTTTGCGGACGGCTTGAAATCCTGGAGTTCCAATGTCAGTGCCTTCCAAATGGATGTAGACGCTGCAAAACAGGGTCGTTGGACTGGCTCCTTCCTGCGATGACGAAAAGGGCGTCCATATGTCATTTGGAGGAGACTAAGCGAATGCCTTTGTCAAGCATGGTGAGGAATGATCAGAAAACATAATAAGGATAGATGCCAAAAAGGATTTGGGCATCTGGGTCTCCTCAAACTTGTCCTTCTCACTGCACCATGAGAAATCGGACCAAAAGGCATTCGCCATTTTACGGATGATCAGGCGCACCTTCTCCCGTATCACTCGCATGGAATTCCAAAAACTCTATGGGGCCTACGTCAAACCGCTCCTTGAATACGCCAACCAAGTTGTCTACTCAGGACGCACGACAGACGTCACCCTCATTGAGCGTGTCCAGCGAGGCGCTACGAAAGTGGTTGTCGGCCTCAAATCCATGGACTACGATACCCGTCTCGCGATGCTTGATCTATTTCCCCTGGAGTATCGTCACCTCCGAGGGGACCTAATTCTTTCTTATGCCCAATTTGAACGAAGCTTGGCCAACAGGATTTTCACCGTTGGCCCAGCAGACATACGGCGGGGACATGGTATTAAGATTTTCAAGCAGAGAGAGCACACATTTATTAGGTAAAATTGTTCTCATTTCGAGTAGTAGGTGCGTAGAATGACCTTCGTCCGACGGTTGTCCACGCTCCTTCTAGAACCCGGTTTAAAGCACTATTATACATTTATCTATGCGAATCCTCGCACTGACAAACATACTGCCCCGCGCTGAGAACATAAGGAGCAGTGCTACATCCTTTTTTCACTTGTACCTTTCAGGTGAACGGCAGCTGATGAACGACAAGGACAAAACCGACCCGGGAACTTAATCAAAACCTCGATCATGTGTATCAATCTATGAGTCTGCGAGTAGGCCCCAAAGAATCTAAAGTTTATCTGACTACCACAAATCAAATCCCCTATTCAGCGGATCGCCGAACTTTCTCAATATCAGCAATAAAGAAACACATGAAACAACTAATGATCACCATCACATCGTCTTTGCGTTAAATTTTGAGTTGCACCTGCACCGAAACTTAAACCTTCCAATATATGATTAGTGCGGACCAAGTAATTAGAGGCGACCATAGCACTGCGCTTGACCATGCAAAACATGCATTCCACGTGTTCTAACAAGCAAACTATGTCTAAGGATTATTTGGCCAATTACCTTGTAAGTCACTAAAGGTAGCCCATATAGCATTTGAAATCCTTCAAAGTCTGTTCACGCTTTACTTGTTTCCGGAGTGGGACATGAATGCGTCGACTGAAGTGGACGTCAATAATATCGAGAATTTCAGTAAGCTTCGATGTTTATACCAAGAGGTCACAGCATCTTCTCGTGTGACATCTCGCAATTAAAAGTATACATTGAAATCCCCCGAATGTCAGTTCGCGGTGCTAAAACTGAAAAAAGGAGTGATAAGGATACTCCGACGGACGCTGCACTTCAATCTTTTGCCAGATTTACTATAAGGCTAACAAGGAAACTGAATATAAACAGGTGATAAACGTTAATACCATTCTTGATATTGCACATACATGCTCCCAGGGAACCTGAAACAGATGCCTTTTGATGCGCGAACCAGTGTTGATTTTTCTGCATAATTTTTTTGGACAAGAATGGATAACATCGAAGTGCAAATGTGAAGCTTTCAGGCCTTTGTAGATTGCATGTTAAAATGGTCGTGAATGAACTGCCAGTCCACAATGTAAAGGGAATACAGAATGCAGAATTTCGGTCAAAAGTGTGACCGGTGCTACGTTTTCTATGAACGTCGTTTGGTCCCCCCGGGGCATAGGCTCAAATTTATTGGTTCGGGACTGGGGTAACCTCTCGTGCATTTCTAAACAGAAGGTGAAAAATTGCGTACTCTCTCTTGCTTGGTTACCACGAGCCTTTTAAAGGTTTCCTGCGCATTTTACCATCACAAAACGCAGTCACATGGCAACTAAGTCTATGACTCGCGCACACAGAAGTGACACATCTTCCTCCATTGGAAGATGTCACTTTATGGCTGACTTTCATGTGCAGCTCCCAATCCTGGTTTGGATTATGAGAGCTGAATTCACTGGTAACACGTGAGGTCGGGTTTAGTGATCATGCGCCAACCTTTGCTGCCCTTCGTAGGAGTATTGCGTCAAGCATAAGAACTTGCTTGTCTGCTCCTGGCCGCCTGAGAAATGTCCGAACCCAGGTAACGCATTTCACAAATTAAATTATGCCAATCTGGCTCAAGCAAATGCAAGTTACTGCTGACAACCCGTTAGTTTTCAATTCATACATCCGACCTTTCTCCATTTTTCCCTCTTTGCCGGTGGTATGCACATGGTCTCTTTTCTATGATCTGGAATGCCGTTTTGATGCCTATTTACTCCAGCTGAAAAATCCGTGGTCAACTAGGCTCCACGTTGTTGACTGCCGGCTCTCGCAAATGAGTAATTATGGTCTAAATGTGGCGTTTGGACTTGCTCCTTTGTACTTTTCTACTTACGGCTGCCGAAATTCGATGATCGAGTAACTACTGCTGCTGTTAGCTGTGTCTTGAGTCACCACAAACGCCTACCTGTTATTATCCAATTTCACCCCATTTCTCGGAAACATGCTTGAACGTAACAAGGAAACGTGGCGATGATCATTGTCTGTTTAATATTTTGGTTTACCCACCCCCCAAGGTTACTGGATCTGATGCTTTGCAGCACAGCAGAATACATCCATTTGCAAACAAGGTTGCTTTGAGAAATACCCACCTAGAATCCAGCTTGATCTGTCGTTTGTGATATTTCCAGGCACAACCTCTAGGATGATTTGTGCGTCACACTTCGGATGGCTAAGACTTCAGATGTTGTCGTCAAATTTGTAATGGGGTCACCCTAACCTTATGGAGGCTTAGTTACACAGCTGCCTAGAAGTTAGATGAAAATTACGGACAAAGGCGAATTTCAGGTGCACTAACCCGAGAAACATCTGAAAACGCTTGGCCACAAGATCCCTTTCGCCTCTGTGCCAACCTCCAAGATGAAAACCTACATCATATTGATTTATGCGTGAATTAAGTAATACAGGTTGCTGGTCCTTCTTTATCTTGGATTAGGGCCCTCCAGTTTTCGGATTCTTAATATATTTTAATTTGTTGGGAACGCACAAAATGTGCACGTTTCATCCGACTTCTATTTCTCTTTTTTGACGGTACATAGCACCGAACAAACTTTCACACTTTATTGAAAAAACGTATCTTTAGGGACTGTGTAGCCTGGGGGCAGATGATATGTAGTGGCAATCCCTGCCACTATGACCAGACCGCCTAGGATAACACACACAATACACAATGATGGGAATCAGCTTGGTCGTTCACCAGAAAATTATACAAAAAGAAATATACTGGCGTTTCACAGATTCTTGACGGGATTACTGACCAGAAAAACACGGAGCCGGCGGGGATGCTGGCGGATGTGCTACTCGACTGGGAAACTCCGTCGTTATTGCCCTGTATTTCGGCATATACAGTCTTTGGGGTTCATTCGTTGCCACGACGACAATGACAACAGATGTGTATTCTCAAAACCAGAGCGGCGTGGGCTTGCATTAGGGCACATTTTAAGGCCACTTATATGCTTTCGGTATTGCCGTACTTTGTATAACTATATTCAAATTTGTACACGCCGTATGCAAAACATTTGTTACTCTATGTACTGAAGTGAGCATCAGGCCTAACACCTTGACCACACGGAATTCACCGAGAACCGCATGGCCTATCTCTTCCATAAACAGTATAACCAGGCTACCATATGTATGGGATTATGCCTTATGTAGCAAGACAAAAAATGTCAGCACTGATGCGGACAAAACATTCTGTTCACGCCTGAGGGGATAAAAATTCCACTAAATGAAATAGATGCACAGAATACCACTAGTTAGACTTTCAAATCTTGAATAAATAGGTTGTAAGATCTTGTGCTAAGGCCGTGATCTCAAGGCAGGGAATTGGTTAATTGGCCTAAACGCATGATCCAGGTGATCTATCTGATAAGTACCGTGTAGTCTAATTCAACGACGGACGGGTTCACCTGCGTTTGTTCAGTACCCGCAATTTGGCGGCAAATAATATATTGAAGTAGACGTAGGCAAACAGTATAGATAGATAGACCGTTTCTATGAGAAATTAACAGTTAATCGTGAAAAGAAAAGCTTACGGCTAAGCTGAACATTGGGCGGTTAGTAACACAGGATGGCATGGAAGGGGCAGTGTGCTGTCGGACAAATTAAGCGGGAAAAACATGGGACAAAAAGTTCAACGGCAGACCCAGAAATGAATGTGGATAACTCAAGTAATGGAAACAGTGAATATAGAAAAACGGTAAATATAGAGTCACACTTGTATAAAAAGGAATAGTTCGTCTAGAAACTTGAGCAGTCACCGAAAGGGTAGTGAATTACTCTGAGGATTACGGAAGCGTAAATTATTGCGTCACGTAATTGACACTGGTGATAGTTATATACCTCATTTCCACATACGGCCTTGGCAGCTCAGGGCATTCCTTGCAAACTTCCGTGGATTTGGTTCAGCGATAGGTCGTAGCTTACATCTGTGTACTGTGTAGTGTGCAGTCAAACCTGGCTAACAGCACCAGCGTGGGGAAATTAGTCAAAAGACTGATTTTACAAAATGGTGACAAGCTCTGAGCAGGAGGTCACCGGTTGTATAATACGGTCGTATTTTCGAACATCAGATTAGGTTAGTTGCAGGCGTTTGGGTTCGTGTTGCTATATTTCTTTCTATTTCAGTGTGATACATGGACGAGACAATAAGGCTACGACGTACCGCTTCCTTTCCAGTAATTTTGTGAAAAAAAGACGACGATAAGCTGAGAGTTTGTGCTGCATATGGATATCTGACCACATGCCTCAGTGGAGATAGGAGAATAGAGCTCTTCTTAGGTAAGATCACTCTAGCTATTACGCCAGGCCTGTAAACACTCACGGCCAACTCGGATTCGCGGAAGACGGAATGACATTTCGTAAGCATTTTGAAATCCTCTCCTGAGTGACGTAATATTGGTGTAACGTTTATACTACTGATGGGGGAGGCATGCGAGTAGTAAGTTTTCTTCTTATAAATTCCGCTTGTGTCTATTGAAAAGGAAGATCTCTTGCGGAATTTGTGGAGTCGCTTAGTAGCATTCGCTTGGATTTGAGCGACAGTCAATGAACATCCAGGAAAGTTCAGGAAGACGCGTTCAAGTGAAGATGGGTGTGCATTTTTTTTGTAAACAAGATGCATGTGCGAGTTTTGCTTCCCTGTCCAATAGTCTGTAACTGGTCATTTGGCATGCTCTAGTGAATAACTCCTCAGCCTTCTTCCTTTCATTGGTATTTCGAAACACGGTTGGCGCTTTGTCCTGTCTCAGTGAAAGTCATATCGCTGAACAGTCAATTATGGCCAGTGTTGGTGTCTCCAAACGCTAGCGGTTTAAATGCCACAAAGCTTCGTGTGTTTCAGTGCTGAAGCTGATTAAAGCTAAACACTTGTAGTGCGTAGTCTTGCATCAAAAACTGGGCGAAATTGCCGTTGAACAGAGTCTCACATCATCACTTCTCAATTTTGATCGAAAAAACCGTGAAAACATCCAACTCATTGAACATCTGTCTTTGCCGAACCAACATACCAACAGCATGTTGAACATTTTGCGAGTTTCCGTTTCGGTTGTTTGACCTAGTGGGGTGGGATCAACCGCGCAACTTAGTGTCTGTGAATTACCTGCTGACGGGTTGAGTAATCTTTATAGACAAACGTTGCTTACGTGCACGATCTTGATGAGCCAAAACACACGAAACCAAGGTGTGTTAAATAGACCAGGCTTATGTGAGTCAACTTTCTCCACTTTCTCTGTGTACACGATACAACTGACATGACATGGTCCGGATCGGGATGATCTTGTTAGTTCTTGTCGGGGCAGAAGATGTTTTCAACATGTCTTCAAGTGTTCTGTTTTTTTACACTTTTCTAAGGTTAATTGGTAGCCACCTAGCATTAGAGAACTTATATATATGCACACAAAGGAAGAATAAAATCGGTAAAATACAGTAGTATACTGGCATTGTTACCAATGCCCATCCGGTCGCTTGTGCTACTTATTGCAGCTTTTGCAGGTGAGAACATTATAAACCAACTT